TTAACACAAACCTGTCTCTTCAACAAACTGAGAGAAATCAGCAGCATAATTATCTTAACTATCATACATATTTTTTCTCCCAAAAGCACTTTTAAATGTATTAACTCTCTAGGGAAAGTCTTTTTCATTTGATGATAAACACCCAGAGACCTAATAAGCCGGCATTCCGTCACTCCAGCAGACATTTCATGTAATAAACTTAAAAGGAGAAAAAAAATATATTTTGACTACACATTTCGGACATTTCAGTCCACGTGGATGGGCTCCGTTGCCTTTGGGCCAGTGAGCGCGCACTGCATCGTGACAGGCGCTCGTGCCAGGGGAAGCTGGGGGTGCAGGGAAGCAAAAAGAGAGAAAGAAGAGGGGCGAGCCCCCATCCTCTTCAGGGCCACGGCCCTCTGTCACATTTCCCAATAGCATCACAGTTTAGTGACCAAACCTTTAACAAGTGGGCCTTTGAGGGACACTTATCCAAAGCAGGGTAAGCCCCAAGATGACTCGGACATAAGATGGATGTTTGTGTTTCTTATTTTATTCTACCCACGGCTCTGGGGTGCCTTGGTCCTCCCCCACCCCCAAGCTCTTCCTGGAAAGCCAGCATTCACACTTACTAGCACGAATGCAGTATGGAGGTGACTCATTTTAACAGCTTCACTTTGCAAACGTGAAAGCCGTAGCACAGAGCCGAGAGTAACTTAGGGCAGAATGGATCACTATGAGCTTTGGAGTCAGTTAGATCTGCCACTTAGGTATGTGAACTTGAGCAAGGTAATTAATATTTATTTCCTAGCTGCAGTTTCTTCTAAGACAGCTCTTATGGAAATAGTGTCTGTAAAGCACCTACTTAAAGAATAAATTTCAAACTTTGCCAGTATTATCATATTTGCTACTTTTTGAAAACATCCAGCCCAGGCAAGGTGGCACACACTTGTAATCCTAGCACTAGGGAGACTGAGGCAGGATGATCACTGTGAGTTTGAGGCCAGCCTGGGCTACATAAGCAAGTTCATGGCTAGCCGGGACTACATAGACTGTCTCAAAAAATTAAAAAAAAAAAAAAAAAAAATCAAGATACGTAATTCATGCAATGGTTTGGGTAAGTGTTCATAAAGAATAATTGGAACGTGGTAGAACTTTTAAGGTGGAGTCTAGCAGAAGGTATACTGTTCCCTGGGGCCCCAGCCCCTGCCTCTTTTCTCCTTCCTATCCCAGCCATCGTGTGAACAGTTGTGCGTGCTGCCGCCGTGACGTGCGTGCTGCCTCACCACAGGCTCAAGAGCAGCAGGGGCAAGTAGCCATGACGTGAAAAACCTCTAAAGCTATAAGCCTAATGAAGAATCGTTTTCTCTTCGTGATTATGCCACCATTAAAAGCTAACATAAAGTCTATCATTCTGAAGTGTACATTTCCGCTGACTTTGGTATCTGTGCGATGTTATACAGCCATTACCATCATCTAAAACCAGAACCTTCTTATCACCCCTGCACCCCAAGTCCTCCACCTATCAGCAGCCAGGCCCAATTCCCTTCTCCTCTAACTTCTAGAAAGCACTAATCATTTTGTTGTTGTGTGTTTGTACACATCATATACTGAATGGAATTATATAGCATGCAGCCTTTTGTAGTTTGGCTTTATTCACTTAGCATCATGTTGCCGAGTGTCATCCATATGATAGTTTATAATTCATTCTTTACTGCTGAATAATATTCCATTGTATAAACATGATGTAATTTATTCATCAGTTGATGGGAATTTTGTGTAATTCTTTTGTTTTACTTGGTTGGGGCAAAATCAGAATGAGGACATGGATGACTTTCTACTCTGACCTGTTTTTACTGTCCCACGCTGTTTTGCATAACATCTAAGCACATGTGATAGTTTAACTAGAAATCATTTGCTCATTGAAACCCTTACCACCTGGCTGCCTAATTTTCAGGTGTGATACTTTCACAAGAGCTTTTCCAGTTTGGAAAAATTATACAATTCAAAGAAGTGAAATCTACACATTTGAAGACAGTTGTGCTGAGAACCAGGTTTAATGTTTATTTTCCAGACTCCAATTGATGGCTTTTCATGCATCTTCGTCCTCCTGTATTTCACAGAATGGCCTGAGATATGCACAGTATCTTTTTTCTCTACTTGTTTTTGTGAGCTCGCTAACATGATATATAGCCGAGCATCAAAGAGAGTTTTTATTAGGTTTGGTTGCTCTGTGAGTCCCTTCTTTCTCATTCACTTTACTGCATGACAGATATTGAGAGTTATTCTTTTCTCTCCTAAAACAGGCACTGTCATTGCTCTGACCTATAGGAATAGGGACTACATAACTTTAGGCCAGATTCTAGGGTGCGCCCAGTACAGCTGGCCACCTCGTCAAGCACGGTGGCCCCTCCCACTGTCTGCTACCTAAGTGACAACTCATGGTAAGAGAGGACTATGGTAACCTGGCCTCCTTCCCACATCTCAGTGCCCCAACTCTCAGATCTGATTTTGCCTGGTGACAAGATCACAGAAATCCATCTTCCATCCGAAGTCCCTATTTCTTTAGTCAGCATTGCACCTGGAGGGAGAGCACCTGGCTTTGTACACTTGGGAATGCACCAAGTGTGGCCCTAGGCCTTCTTCTTATAGGCATCAGAAGACCGGAGGCAGGTTCCATTTATGAAGGATTTGGTTGTTGACACTCATTGGGAACCAGTGATGTGTAGGATGTGGCAAGGTTCCAGTGGTGAAAGCATTTCTCTGGGCTCCTCAGGGATTTGTGCTACTTATCTTGGATGGCGCTAAAGGAGAGTTCAGCCCAGCTTCCTTTCCTGACTTTGACCAAGTATTTTCTTTACTAAAGCTTAATGACCTAGGATCCTGAATACTGCTAATTACTTCATTTGATGTTTTATTTCCTTGAGATCCTCTAAACTCTGGAGCAGTTATTATATGCCACGCTTCACATGCATTATGTCGTATTATTTCCTGCTTCTCAATACTTGCCTCTCTCAGACATATAAATAAGCAAGTGGCCTTGACCTTGTCTTCTCCATGCTGAATGTCCTTTATTCCCCAGATGTTCCTGATTGAAGCAGTTTCAGTTGACCCTCTTTGTCCTGCTCTCTTATGTCCATTTTGTCAGTGCTTTTCTTAGCATGAGGCTTAAGCCAGAAAGGGCCATCCGTGTGTGCTGGGAACAGCTTAAGCTGGGAGCATCACCATAAGATGAACCTGTAACTCATTCTGTGCCAGCGCTGGCTTAGCTGGTTACAGCTTAACCCTAGTCAACCTCCTACCAGGGTCATATATTTGGTTACTTTAGCTACTGTGGGGCAGAAGTGACTATGACACTCTCTCTCTCTCTCTCTCTCTTTTTTTTTTTTTTTTTTTTTTTTTTTTTTTTGGCCTAATAACAACTTTACATCTCCCCCAACCTATTTTATCTGTTCTTCACCCTGGGCATTTGTATTCTTACCCCATCAGCAATATAGATCTATAGATGAAGTATAAAAGCAATATATAGATGAGAGTCTAGCCTAATTCTGATATGAGAAATTAATGAAGGGGTAGAGAATTGTTTTATTTTTGTGCTTCAGGCAAGCTCCTCATTGTGGAGGACTGCCAACACTGCTCCCCGTGGAGTTTGCCTCCACTTGGTGCACCTTGCCCTACTCTGTGCTGATATGCACGGAGCTGGCTGGGAAGTGCTCGACCCCCTCAGGTGGATTAAAGCAATGCAGATGGGTCCAGCCAGGCCCTGATGTGTAGCCTTTGAAGCAGAGCAGCAGGCTTGTGATGCCACGCCTGTAGCTCCGACCACTAAGCACATGCTAGGCTGAGAGACGCTGTACTGTCAGCTGGGATTGAGCACCAAGAAAGAGGCAGTGAAGTCCCAGGGCAATAAAAGCAAGATGTCAGGGCTGAAGCAACGAACCCAAAACCCAAGATACTTCCTCAAACTGTGTTACGCAGACTCCCTCAACTTAGAGGCTACCTGTTATCGGAATCCGGTATTCTTTCTGCAAACCTCTCTGTGTATTGCTCAGGTGCCATCATGCCTCCCACCTGAGCCAGCTCACACCACTCACGTACTTCCTGCCACTCTTTCAGTCACTCAACTCCAAGCCACTCCCCTCTTCACAAATTAATAAAACCCCAGCTCAGCACTGAGTCATGCCTTTGTTGCAGTTGGCCTTTGTTCTAACTGGATTAGGACGCCCTTGGCTCTCCACAACTGCAGATATATTGTCTATTTATTCTCGCTATGGTTGCCCTGAAAGTGGTAGATTGGCATTTACTTTCTAGAATTCTAATAACTTTTCTCTGGGATTGTAATTTGTAAAGTCCTCCTGACTGCAATGAATGGCTCCTATACCTCATCTTTTTAAGAATTATTTTATTAACAGTTGACACTTAGTTATGCATATTTATGGAGTTTGGTGTGACATTTCAATACATCTACACAATGCATAATGCCCATGTCACCTCAGCCATGGGTCATTTCCTCATGTCGGGACTATTCAAAATCTTCTTTAGCAGCTATTTTGCAATATAAAATTAAATGTTATTGACCATAACATTTACCCTCCTGTACCACAGACACTTTGAACTTAGTCTTCCTATAAGAACTTTTTTAGGGTTTGGGGGTATAGCTCAGTGTGTGCCTAGCATGTGTGAGGCCTGGGGTAGCATGCACGAGGCCCTGGGTTCTAGCTTAGCACTGCAAAAATAAGCAAAAAAAAAAATTATTTTTTAATATTACGTTAGGATTGACCATTGACAGAAAACCCTTCTCTGACTCTTGATCTTCGAGTCCTCAGTTAGTGCCGTTAGCTCACTGGGGTTGTGTGTGTTTGTTGGAGGGGTCATCCTACTGTCCGTAGTTACACAGATAAAAAGACATTTTAGTGTTGAGCGCCTAGGAAGCTGAGCAGTCCGTGTCTTCATGGCCAGGTGCTCAGTCTCCGGCACCGCGTGGCACCTGCTGCCCTGATGAGCCTGTCTGTCCCTTGCAGTTACCTGGCTGAGCAGTGCTGGAATGGCGGCTTCATCTACCTGATCATGCTGCGGCGCTTCAAGCACAAAGCCCACTCAACTTACAATGGCAATGGTAGCAACAGCTCGGAACCAGGAGGGACGCCTACCTTGGAGCTGGGTGACCAAACTTCAAAGAAGGGGAAGAGGACAAGAAAGTTTGGAGTCATTTCCAGACCTCCCACCAACAAGACCCCTGAGGAGCGTAAGAACAGCTCAGGTTGTGAGCCTGCCCACAGCGCCAGTGCCGAGCTGGAGAATGGCAGTGCAGACCCTGAGCTTGGAAACACACTTGGCTCTGAGCTGGAGAACGGCTCACCTTCTCTCAAGGATGGGGCTGGACCCAACCTGGAGAGGTCAGAAGAGGACAAAAGGGCAGAGCCCACAATTCCAAAGACAGAGGCTCCTCTGACCACGGGCAGTGATAAGTGCCGTCTCTCCAAAGCTGGGAAGACAGACTCCCAGTCCAGTGACTGCCTGCCTCGGGTAAGGTTTTCTTTGACTAGGGGACCCAATATTTAAAAGAAACTTGGTTTGAAGTTGCTTTTAAAGTTCAGAAAACATGTAAGTTGACTTTACAATTACATATCACAGATACATCAAGATAAATGGTAAGATCACATAACAACAACAGAACAGTTCAAGTCATCTTATCCTACTTCCATAAAGAGCTAGGCAGAGGATCAGAAGTGAAAAGCCAAGCTTTCTGTGGTAGAATCTGAGTTAGGTGAGGCCCAGACAAGTGCTTACGCTGCATTGGTTTTCATCGCTGCTGTCGCAGGAAATTGCTTCTTTAAGACAAGTGATCGCACAGACAGCCCAGCTTCAGTATTTCATGGGAAGAGTGTGCAACACGTGGTGAGGAATCTCCTTTTTTTTCTTTAATTTTTTGGCTTTTTGAGACAAGGTCTCACTGCGTAGTTCAGGCTGGCCTTGAACTAGCTGTGTGTAGCCAAGGGTGGCCTTGAACTCACAGTGAACCTCCTGCCTCAGCCTCCTGAGTGCTGGGATTGCAGGCATGTGCTGCTGTGCCAGCTGATGCTTTCATTTTTTACCGTTCAGAAGCAGCGATATGTTCATGGCATCATGGCATTCTGTTGATAAGTTGTGGTGAGGCTTGCGAGCTTCACAGCAGCCTCAGCTGTGTGACATCCAGCTGTGATGGGAGAGGTTGGTTTTGCCCAAAGGCAAAGCAGATGTGCTTTCTGCAGGTGATGGGTGAGCAGCTTGCCTTTGATGGCCTCCCCCAGTGTGCACCATTTTCATATCAGAGCTGTATTTCTGAGGGTAAATGTGTATGCTCTAATATTCATCCTAGCAGCTGTTTCTTCAGGTTTTTTTTTTTTTTTTTTTTTTTTTTTTTTTTTTTTTGTATTTTAGGGAAGGATCTACACGGTGTTCAGGGTCTCACTACTAGATTGGACTCGTAATGATCTGCCTGTTTACAGCGTCCCAAGAGCTGGGATTATAGGTGCGGGCCACCATGCGGGCCACCATGCCCAGTCTCAATTGCAATCTCAGCGTGCCCAGGGGTGGGGCTGGTGTGGCAGGCTAGGGGACTGAACCCCCAGCTCCTGCACCTGCTTGCAGGCGCTTTAATCCACTGAGCTATTTGGCCAGCCCAACAGAGTGAATTTTTTTTTTTTTTTTTTGCCAAGACAGTACTCAGGAATTTTATTATAAAACAGAATAGTCAAATAGTTTACACGTTAATATGTACATGACATTCAAATATATTACAGCTTTAATTTATAGACAGAAATATCCTGTTTTTCTTTTTCTTCTTTTCTGGTTTTTTTGCATCTTTGATTTACATTTTTACTTGATCTTGTAATTTAGCAAAGAATGCTTGAGATGACTTCAGGGCAACAGAGTGAATTTTTAAAAAATGCTTCTGAAATGAATCCATAACATGAGATTAATAATAGATTGCACATTGAAAAAAAATTATTTACAAATAAAATGAATATAATGAAATTGTGTAAAATAAACATGAAGAAGAGTTTACAGATCAATCATATAATAGTTCACTCTGTGCCAAAATCAAGAAACCTATATTCATATAATTAGAATTCTTAAAGTAAAATGGGGTAGCCAATATATATTTAAAGATTTAAAATTTCTGAACTTAGTTAAAATTAGAGCAGCACATTTCTAAAAAAAAAGGAACCTTTTGCACAAGAAATATGAATAAAATCATACAAAAGATACGCAAAAATGAAATTGTCCTAAACTAATTGTAAAAAAAAAAAAA